TGCTAAACATCTATAATGAATACAGGACAGCCCCACAACAAAGAGTGATCTAGCCCAAATGTTAATAGTGCCAAGGTGGAGAAACTTGGTGCCTTGACACCGCACACAAGTGTAGAGCCTCATGTCAGGGGGTCTGGACACAACATTACACACCTATTTTAACTTGGTGGTTCCCAAAGAAACAGGACCTAGTCTACCTCGCAGTCCAGACCTACTGTGGACCCCTATCCACACAGCCCTGCTTTGCTTTGAGCCTATCAAAACACAGCTTTGTTTAATTTTCGCTACATTCCCCCGTTCCTCCAAATCGGTAACCACTCTTTTTTCTTTGGTTTGGTGCGAGGCTCCACAGGTCCTCCCCTGCAGTCGTCTCGGTGTGATGCGCCAGGAAACCTGACTTTGTCAGACAAGCCTGTCTTGTCCTGGTGCTGTTAGGCTGACTGGTCTAGAGCAGGGCTAGGAAGAAGAAAGGGTCTGCCAAGCCCCACGGAATGCTGGCAACCACTGCTCACCCCTCAGAAACCTGAAATAAGCTCAAGGGTCTCATGTGAACAAATGTGTACTTTTCCTCCTGGTGACCGTGAACTTGAAAAGGGGGACCCATGGCTACTGCACCACTTTTACAAGATTCTGTCCAATACAGAGACTGGTAAATTGCAAATCATTTAAAAGTCTCCATTTGCTCCACCACCATTTGTTATGTGCCCACTGAGTCCACAGCACTATTCTGGGCTTTATGGTGGGGATACTGAGCAGAAAACACAGCCTGCACCTTGAGGGACCAATGATAGCCACAAGGCACCATGTGTCACCATTATAGGGGACAACTCCTAAGAAGCAAGTCAACTGAATGAAGTGATCAGAAAAGTGGTACGAGCGTCCAGCGAGGGGAGAGGAGGCGGGGAGAGTTTAACCTTCGCCCCACAGTCATCATCGATTCAGAAGCCTGATCTGCCTTTGTGCAAATTCTGTCAAGGATTATTTGTTTCCTAACCCACCTGCTCAACTGGTCTTCTGAATCTCTAAGACTGAACTGTTTGTTCAGAAAGATGCTAAATAGTCCTTTCTCTGGGCTATCTTTCTAGCCCACCGAGGCCACAAAATCTGCATCACTTGTAGCAAGAAAGAAGGAAACTGCAGATGCGGTGAGCTGGAGGAACCTCAGGGCACTTCACTGATGAATATTTAGACAGTTTTCCTCTTGTTATGAAAATTATGGCAATCTGTTCCCCAACATGCACTCTAGATGAATTTTAGTATCATAAAAGCTTTATTGAGGAGGGTGGAGATGATAGTCATTCAAATAAATCCTGATCAACTGAGTTTCACTTTCACTCAAAAAACACCAATTCATGTGAACATTTTTCAACTCATCATAACTCTTAATCCTGATGTGAGTTTGTACTTTAGCATGCTAAGGAGACAGCGGTGCAGGGAGGAGCTTCTCTCCTCTGAACAGCTGGGCAATGTTTGACATAGGTTTGTCTTCCACCTAGAAGGAAGGAGGCTGTGCTGCTCTCAAGTTCAGGGTCATTTCTAATAGCAGATCAGCACTCTGTGTCCTTCCATTTGAACACAGATGTTGCATCAAAATCTGAAAGCAGTGAAGTGTTCCAAATTGGAGGGGTTTTTTAGTGGACTAGGGTGCTTCATGGAAATCATGGGTGAAATTATCCCAGAATTTGCTCTTTACAATGAAAGCCAGAGAGTGCGTGAGGGGCAAGATTAAATTGCAGAATTTTTCTCCGGGTCCATGAAAAATGTTTGTCAATAAACACCTCTCGAGGCTTCGCTGACAGTGATAATTCTCTTTCCTGACCTACTACCCACTTACATGCATATTTACACCTCTGCCAAAAAACATCTTCTCATGTTCCTACTGAATTGTTCATATCTTTCTTTTGTCTCTCCCATCTGGCTGCTCAATTCGTTGACTGCAGAAACCTCTCACTCTCAATAGTAAAGTTTTCGGAATTGAATCAGAAGATGAAGATGCTGGGAGAAACCTCAGGAGTTCTCTCTAGTACAACCCTCTGACTTCACAGACAATATATACAATGAAGAGCAAGGTCAGAGAAATAAAATTATTTACCCAAAGTCATACAGCTAGCTAATAACAGAGCTGGTCCTAGAATCCGTGCTTCCTGACTCTCGGCCAAAACACACCACCCAGCCTCTGTAAAAGCACTCTTCATTAACAACCCATCCTCCCACCATGATGCTTCCAGAGAGCCAGGTGGATGGCTGGACATAGTTAATAGATACTTATAGGACTGAACAAGGCTTGGCCTAGAGCCGGGATCCTCCCACATGCTTAAGGGAGTAGAGCATTCAGAATTGTGTTAATATCCAGGCCCACGAAGCCCATCTTAGATCCCAGAATTACTCTCAAACTACACTGTCCAATATGGTGGCCACTAGGTACATGTGGCTATTGAGCACTTGAAATGTGGTTACTCCAAGTTGAAATGTGCCATACATGTAAAATACATACCACATTGTGAAAGCTCATATGAAAAAGAGTGAACATATCTCATTTAATAATTTTATATGAGTTACATGTTGAAATGATAATATTTGGGATATATTGAGTTAAATAAAAGATTTGAAATTAAGTTCACCTGTTTCTTTTTTCTTTTTTAAATGTGGCTACTAGAAAATGTAAAATCGCCTGTGTGGCTCACATAATGTTTCTATTGGTCAGCACTGCTCTAAAACACAGCTAAACTCCCCCACCTACCCACCCACCCACCTAATCCTTCCGGAAAGACTTGAGTCTCCTACCTGCGGACATTACAGAGGGTGACAAGAAAGCATCAAGGGCATGCTCCTACCCTAAGGTCAGTTCTTGAGACCTGAGGATTAGTCACTTAAGCATACCTTGCAGACTGTCCTGTTCCGTGCCACATCCTTACAAGTAACATGCAAGTCCCTCCTGCTTAGCCTTCTCCAAAAGCAACCCACAAGTCACCCAAGGTCCTATTTACTCTGGACAGAGTCGAACAATCTAGAGGGAATTTCTACTTCACTTCTATTGAAATTGTTTTCCATCAAGAATAGTTCTCTTCTTCTCAGATTATTATTTCTGCAAACACGAAGTCAGGTTGGTGAGGGCCACTGGTTGTCACATGTCACGAGGATAGCCTGTCCTAGAGACCACATTCCAATTACCTTTGAGGTTTGATGTGTCTTCTCCTTTTCCTTCTCCATTCTACTTCCCACTCCAGCTGTCCGAGCAAACTTCCCTGATAACCTTGATCATTTGTAACCTTGCTAAGAGCCATAACTACAGAATGAGCAGTTGAATGGAAAGAAGGATGGGCTACTGTCCAGCAAGAGAAATGTTTTTAGAAATGGATTAACTTTCAGTTCTTGAAAAAAATTTCAGGACTCTTCAAGAATCTTGAAGATTTTAGTGCCTAAAGGTGGGTTGAGCACGATAAGCCTATAACCTGCTTGAATAAATGCAGGGCCAGTTTCTCCTTAGGAACATTTATGAGCTCAGAACATTGGTTCTTGAAGTGTGGGCCCTAGACGAGGAGCAGCAGCACCTGGGAATTTGTTAGAAAAGCAAATGTTCAGGTCTCACTCCAGACCTACTGACTCAGAAATTCTGGAGGCGGGGCCCAGCAACCTGGGGAGTTAGGACCAGCTCTCCAGGTCATTCCGAGGCACACTGAAGTTTGAGAACCGCTGGATTAGGGCATTAGACTAGTGGGCTTTCTGTCTATTTTCCGGAGTCTGATTGTACCATTAACAGATGGAAGCCCTGTAGACCTCATCTGAACCTTAAACATTAAGACAGAGCTCGAGCATCTGCATCAATATCATCCATGATTTATTTCTCTAAACTATCATTTTTGGCTTGGCAAGTCCCATAAATTCATTTTCTTATGTCTAAAGCTGCATCCCTTATTTGCTCTCAAAACTACATGTTTTGCACTGCAAAAGGAGCTCCTGGTATATTATTCTGCAATTAAAAGAATAAATCTATGCTTGCTCTTATATTAATCAAAATTACATATGCATGATATATCTTCTCTCAATCTTCGACTTTCCAAACTAGATGAGTAGTCTGTCCACATTATCCTCATAGGGAAATATGAAGCTGAAAACCCAAAACAAAATAAAATCCCTAGAAGGGATTGAAGTACTTGTTTCTGACTAGAGCATGTTCAGAACCCCCCAGTTATTGGAGGAATGGCTAAAAGAAATGGAGAGTTGCCAAATTTACCAAATACAAATACAGAATGCCCAGTTACGTTTGAATTTCAGATAAACAACAAATATTGCATGGGACATACTTATAACCAAAAAATCACTCATTGCTCATCTGAAACTCCAATGTAACTGGGCATCCTGTATTTTATCTGGCAACTCTAGAATTTGGAATACCGACCTTTGGGAAGGTTTTGGGGAGACAACTGTCCCCAAATACTTAAAGGGCCATTGGGAGAAAAATGGGCCAATATCAATATAGACCCAGAGACTAGAACCCATGGGTAAAAATCACAGGAAGAATATATCTGGCTCAACAGAAGAAAGACATTTGTATCTAGAGGGATTCAAGGAGAGATGTGCTGAGGTTGCTGGCAGCAAGTCAAGGTTTGGGAATGCTGGCTGAGTAGTTAAGCTAAAAGATAAGGCCTCTCTGACTTGAAAGCCTGGGAATCTCTAAATTGCTTGAGTTGCAATTCTCTAGAATCTTTCTGTCTCTTGAACTATGCAAAGTGCTCTGGGTAGATATAGATAAGCCCCAGTTCTGCACATGGGCTAGATACATAGGGCAGGAAAAAAGCACATTCTATAAAGGAGAAAACCCCTAAGAGTTTTGAATCTAACCTGTGCCCAGGTTAATGAAACACACTTGTATGCATTTTTTTCTGATGTATTTTGAAAAGCCAATTAAGATTACATAAGGATTTTTTCAAAAGCCTTTCAATTACAGGGAAAACCCTTAACTGCTTTCAAACGTAAGATGGATAAATGAGGAAACTCACTCTTTGTTCTGCTGTCCATTTCTGTTTTTGATGAGTCTGGAGTTGCTGTGGTTGGAGGTAACTTCTTTCCAATAGTCTGAGGGGAAAAAAGATAATTTTACTTAACAAGATGATTCTCTCCATTAAGCAAAGAATAAAATCAAGATCGTAACACTAAAATGCTCACAACTGGTTCTAGAAACCATATACTTAAGCTTTTGCACGGCCCTGTGTATTGGTTGCCATTCTTCAATGGGTCTGTACCTCAATGCCAAACAAGTGGGAAAACCAAGTTAAGAAGGGCTTTCTCCTTGCAGGCACTCAGTACCTTTTCTTCCCATTCTTCTTTGATGTTCTTATTAAAAGGCTGATTATTTTCAGCAGAGAAAATAGGTACATTTCTCCTCATTTTATGAGAAGCTGACTAAATCTATGGAGGCATAGCACCTGGCCTGGAGGTGGGGCTCAAAAGTGCCTTCAGAGTGGAAGAATGGTAGTAAAAGGAAAGGAATACAAGGCAGAAAGGAGGAGGGGATAAAGGACGGAGGACCAGAAGGACAGAGAGGCAGATGGAAGGACAGGCAGAAGCCAGAGTCTCCAGGACAACGGTGCCTTATGGTGTCTCCTCCCAGCCATCTGAAATTCAACCTGCCCCGCAGGGTATGAGCACACATGCTCATGTCCTCTAGGACAGGTCTATCTGCCCCAAAGGAGGAACAAGGAGGGCCGGCAGCTCGCTTCCCACGAGCCTTTTAACCCTCCAGGGCTTTGAGAAAAGCCAAAGTCGCAGACCCTAGGCATCTATTTACCAGTTAAAAAAACATCATGAGTTTGTTTTGAGTTCATTTTCTTTTCTTCTTTCAAAGCTATTTCTATTATCATTCATTATTTATGAGCCATCCATAGAAAAGACTGGATATTGTCTCTGAATAAAGATGTTCCCAAAAACACAGGCAATTCAGGGGCTCAAAGTAATGAAAACGAAGAAACAACAACAAACAAAACAATAGTTCCAAAGGTGAGATCTGTTCCCACTCTTCTCCTTTGCTGCCACATTTGTGTGATGATGATGAATGCCCGAGGAAAATGTCTATTGATACCAGGGACATGGCTGTCGAAACCAAGCAGCTGGGTCAATCAACCTCCCCAACAGTGAAGGGTTTCCTCAGCGAGAATTCCAGCCACTGGGAAAACCAAACATATCTGCCCCTTGAACACATGAAGAGGAATGAACTGCAGAATTCAAAAACTGGCACAGTAGAATGTTTCTTCAGATAAAACCGATTCAGCACAGTTTTTAATTTGAAAAAGTTCTTCACGCTCCAAATGTTGAAACTAACATTAAATATGAATAAATCACAGAAAGAGGATAAGATAAATCAAATCCTCAGCCCTTCATGAATTTTTAAAAACATTTGTGACAGAAAGCCTTTACATTTTACACGCTGACATTTTGATTTTGTGCCACAGGGCTTTCTATATTGGATAAAAAATGAAACTCAAAATATTATGCTGTCCCTCAACTGCTGCTAAGTACTCAAACTAATAACATTTTGTGATTCCAAGGAAACATCAAGGAGGAAAAAAGCTTGTTGATATTCGGCCATGAGGTCAAATGTGATGAAAAACTGTCCTTAGAATTATCTTGCAAAATCAGGAACTGACAGTAAAAATAGATGCTCTCAAAGTGTCATTCACATTCCTGTTCACACTGCCAACTGCATCTCCATCAATATCTTTGTTTTCCCCTTTTGGGGACTGGAATAAAGCATCACTATTGTTGACACATTAGGAAGAAAAGAAAAACAATTAATACTTCAGTGATTACTGACAGTGGACAGAGGAAATCAGAAAACTACCATAGTCAACCCTATGCCCAATCCTGACTTTGTTTCCTTTCCTCAAAAAAATGAGACATCCAATGGTTTGGATTTTAAACCAGATGTGAGAAACCTTCACAGGTTGTAAATTCTTACAGCTCCCTCTTATTTGGTAACAAGAGGGAGTGCTGCCCATCATCTCCTGGTTTACCAGTCTATTCAAGCTAACGGACTTCAAGAAAGGCCACCGGTTAAACACATTCACTTTTGTAGAGAAAGACAGAAGAAAGCAAAGCTTACTCTGTTCTTTTTTTCTCACTATTTCAGAAAATACAGCACACTGGCCTCTGCGTGGATCCCAGCCACAGGGGTGATGGTGAAGCTGATACTGCCCTCATCTTCTGGGGTGGCTAGACCTTAATTCATTCCTTCTTCTTCATGGGCTGTGATTCAAGGTCTAAAGTCAAGCAAATTCCTCCCCTCTCAGCCTGGTCCTCCAGGTCTTCCAGAGATGAGAACTGTTCAGGTGTTTCTCTCTTCTCTAGGACCTAGACCTGGAGAAGTATGGTCCCCAGACCAGTGGCACCAGCATCACCTGGGAACTTGTTAGTCAAGCAACTTCCCAGGCCCCACCCCAGACTTTCTCAATCAGAAACTCCAGAGACGGTGCCTGGCAGTCTGTCTGAACACACCCTCCAGGGGATTCTGATGCATGCTCAGGTTTGAGAACAAGCAACCTAGATGTAGGAGGGATTCCATTAGCACTAACCAAATACCTTTCCTCGGATTAACAACTTGGGTGCCTATTCTCATACCTAGATAGATTATAAAACATCTCTTTCACTCCTCTTCTCTCTCTTCTTCCACCAAAGCCTCTACCTTCTCTTTTCTTAACTGGCATAAGAACTTGTCATTGCTACTAAATGAGTCAGTTCAGAGAGGAGCTAGAGTTTAGAAGAGCAGACAATGTGACATTATCACTGAGGAAAAAAGTGGGGAGCACAGGTGGCCATGAGACCCTTCACCAAAGGAGTACTGAAAAGACGGATGGATGGACAGATGGATTAACAGATGGAAAGATGGCTTTGAACCAAAAATGGAGAGCCATATCTAGCCTCTCTGGGCTCAGACTACCTTGACGGCCAAGCGGGCAGATCCCCATGACTGTACTAACCTTCAGGGACAGCCACGCCCTGCTGCTCCTTCACGGTCTTTCCCTTTTCTGGCATTCTAGATGGCACGTTTATTCATTGTAGAAGACTGTCTCACACACTAAAGGACATTTAGCACCCCTTTCTCCTGCCCACTAGTAGCCTGTAGTGCTCCTCTGTCATTGCGTCTACCCCAAACGCCCACACCTTTCCGAACACCCCATTTGAGAACCTCTATCCCCTGCCCTTGCTCTAAATACAAGAACAAAGACAAAGCACTTCCAGCTTCCCCTACCTCTAAAAACATCTTTGGTCCATTGGCCTAAAAATGAACAGAATCCCTGCTTTTAAAGGGCACGCATCCTGAAAGCAATGCCTGGCTCCATATATAACTGAAGGTGAGCTACGATGCAGGCCTAAGTGGACAGAGAAGTCAAGGAACATATCCACACATCTCTCATCCACGTTGCAGGCAGTGAAGAAGGATGTTAGGCTCGCAGTGGCTGTGGAGGAGGATTCAGGATCTCTACTTGGGGCTTCCTCAGCAGAGTTCAGAGTTCCTGCCCTCCTAGGTGCCATAAAGAAGATGGCTTATCCAGGACAAGCACAAGCCCCACACTTAGCGGCTGTGTTGACACTGCTCAGGACACAGCTCTTTTACCTCCTAAATGATCTGCAGACTCTTAGGCCCATTTCACCACATGCCTTCTGAAGGAACAGACTCTCAGGCTCTGCTCCATAGCTCAGCCCAACGTTTTCTCTCTTCTGTGCTGTGGCCGAAGACTTCCCAGTACCCACATCCACATTATTCTGGTCTGCTTGCCCCTCAACTCAGAAGCTGCTGCTTGGTCTGGGAGTGGATGTACATATGGAGGGCTGTATGGAGCCGAAAGCTCTAGAGACAGACTATTGGTATCCATCTCCTTCAACACACAGTAATCGCCAGGTTGGTGTCAACTTCTGTCTCTCCTACCACATCCCAAGATCCATTTAAAATCTGATTTTGTAAAATAAGTAATTAAAAAAACTCATTCTTTTGAATATTTAATATCATAAATCCCTCTCCTGTTAGCTCTCTTGACAAAAGTACTAAATAAAGGTTTTTTTTTTGGGGGGGGTGTACAGTAGGAGCATCATATATACTCCTAGCTCTGTAAGATCCGTTAATACAGCATCAGGACATATAACCCCCATAAGATTTCAGTTAGTGGAGCAAGTAATTTTTTATTCTTTTCTTTGCCAAAATGAAGAAACTAATGCTTGTAGGAAAGACAATCACAGGATTCGAGTCCAGTGGAATGCAGTTCCTTAATGACTAATATATCTGTTTCTCTTTGTGACTGCTGGAGTGTGAGACCAGGATCCTGTTCAAATCAAGTATAAAATCACTCCTCTGACTTTATTCTAATCAGATGCAAACTCCTTTGAGTGTAAAAAGCTTTGTAATTATAGGACAATGCTAAGGAGAAGGAAGTTTCTCATCTCTGAAAGTCTCCTCTCCAAGAATACCACACACAACTCTTGAATCACAAAGGCAACCAGTTTCGATGGGTAGGGGGAGCAGGGAGGGAGCCCCCTGCATTCTAGCACTTGGTGAAGCCCCGCTGTTGGTAGACCAGGCTTTCCAATGGCTGTTCTAGAAGATGGTGATCTTCTGAGAAGCTATACGTAGATATTACTCAAGTGCTCACACAAAGCCAAACACAAAGATAACTTGTCAAACAGCTGGTAAAACACAAGATAAAAGATGCCTCTTTGAAGGCATTCCTTTTACTACACCAGTACTGATAGTATTCCTTCCCTTTCTGTTCAGTTCAGACTTATTAAGTACCCATTCAATGTGAGGCAGGGAAGCAGATGAAAGGCAGAAGGATGCTAAACATCATTGTAAACACTTAAACAGCAATTCTTTGGGTTCTCCAGAGTGGTGTGTTGAGGGGTGCCCAACCATTCAGCGTGCTTATCCCAGATCCTGGTCATATACAGGATGCAGAGAGATACAGGCTACAGGAGACAGTGATGGGAGGAGGGACAGAACAGTATCTATACATGACCACATCCACAACCTTTCAGCTCTCATTTACCACCATAACTCAGAAAGATACACAAACTGCTATAAAAACGCA